AAGAAACCCTTCTGTTGTCTCTGCTGCATTTTTGCCTTGACTCTAGGAGTTTTCAGCGCCACCCTGGCTAACGGAACTACTCAGTGGTAACTACCAGATTGGGTCAGTTTCCAGACAACACTAGATTGTGTTACTCTTCCTCTACAAAGTGTTCTTTGAGTCTCTCCTCCTGATTTTGTGCAAAGGAATGTCGCCTATTTAGACGCTGTTCATGGGAATAGATGATATACAGCAGCTCAAACTAGGTAGTCTAGTCTGATTTTAGGGCACAGAACAGTCAGTTTGGGGGAAGTTTCTGCCTGACTTGATAGGTTGGTGTATGATCAGCAGAAAGCCTGAATACTGTCACCCATAAGATGTTTATGTTATTCCAACATAAGGCTTTATCATAAGTATTGTTTTAATTCTGCAATGCTCTTGTCTGCAGTCGGACTTTGTGGGAGTGAGTTAGAGGACTCTTCTGCCAGCTGTGGGGTTGAGGATGTATTTCTTTTCATGAATTTTATACTTTTTGGTATAATTGACTCATCCTTAGTCTTGAATTATCAAGGCTCAGCAGGTTTTCAGGCAGATCCCATGTAGGCAATGAGGAGATAACAGGAAAATATGAGGAACCCTTTCAGCATTGGTTAGAGCTACATATCCATTTGACCTCTGTTACATAAATTATACTTGGGAACCTAACTAGCAGTGAAGTCTAGACAGTAATCAAGTACAGTAAATTTTTCCTTAGTTGAAAGCAGTGGCAAGTTTGGCTGATAAGACAGCTTTTCTGCCAGTTAATGGGGAAAAAATGTGTTTGTGTGTCAGAAAAGAATCCGGGTGCAGTTTGTGACACTATTTCTAGACAGTTGCTGCGGTGTTTTAGTAACAATGTGCTGTCTGTGTAACTTTCTTGTGTCTCTCACAATAGCAGCGGACATATCCCTCAGAAGAGGTAAGGTCTTTTGCCTTTTTCACCAAGCCTGCATGAGTGTTAAGTTACCAAGAGAAACACAGGTTATGCCTACAGTATTTTTAAATACTGCTTTTGCAGTACCGCCAGTTTTATGCATAAAATATTAGCAGACTTTGTGGTTCTGAGGACTTAACTGTTCAAAAATTCCAGTAGAAAGGTGTTTAAATTCCCACTTTTAGAGTGGCCACAGAAGAATAAAGAAAAGTCAGCATATATCCCTTGGAGGAGTTTATAATGACCTGTCCTCACATCCCATTTGTTCTGAGTATGATACAAATGTTGCCAAATGTTTCTCTTCTATAAAACATTCAGGTTAGCAGATTGTGTCTGCCCTGTGTTTGAAAAGAAATATTCACTAAGTAAAACAAAACTGTTTGTTTGCAGAGTCTAAATATTGGGACTCTTCTGCTGAGAAACATACAAGTGCATAATTTTAGGTTATGCATCTTTTCACTTTGATCTTTACTATCTTTGTAATCAAAGTAAGATGTGCTGCTTCATGCATGAGAAAGTCCTTGGCTGAAAATAGACCTTGGTTACTTCCTGGGGCTTCAGTAACAGTGCAGAGCAATGCTTACAACTGTACTATGTGAACACATCATAACACACTAAGTATACGCTCCACGGAAGTAGCACATAAACCCTAGAAGATAAATTATTATCTCTGCTTATGTAAGGGGACCTCTTATTGTAGCCATTTGAAGTCCTTAAAAAAAAAAAAAATTAAAAAAAGCCTTCTTGATGCCTTGTATAATATATAAACTGTTATACAGTGCAAAACTCAACCAAATGGAAGTATTAGCATTCAGGTTTGCTACTAACGGCCATAGCTTCTGTAACAGGTTTCTTTCCATTTCTGCAGGACAGACAGTTTGTCGTCGTGGAACAGAGCCACCATGCTACAAAATAGTTTATTTTCATGATGCTTCACGCAGGATCAGCTATGAAGAAGCACAGCTTGCCTGCAGAACTGATGGTGGACATCTAGTCAGCATTGAAACAGAAGCAGAGCAAAGACTGATTGAAAGATTCATTGACAATCTCTTAGCTTCTGATGGAGATTTTTGGATAGGGCTTAGGAGGAAAAAGGAGGAGGTAGACAATAGTACAGACTGTCAGAACCTCTACTTCTGGTCAGATGGCAGTTCATCCAACTTCCGGTAGGTACCTATGTGCAATACTAGGAAGCAAACTGGTCAAGGACCACCACCTGCCTTTAGCAGTCAAAAAGGATTCTTTCAAGAGTCAAGCAGTGTTGCCCTAGTTGTCACCTGTGTCCTTCTGCAGTCACTGAAAAGTGGTAGTATCTCCAGAGAGCGATTCATCCCACATAAGGGGGAGACAAATTATCCTCTATAGACTCTGCTCTCTCTTTGCTCTACATAAAGCACCTACAGCGTCTAGCTTGGGCTAGATTGGTTATTTCTGATTGCTAAAAGGAGGGGGAAAAACAAGTGATCCGGTCTTAAAAATCTCTGATTAGGCATGAAGAAAGTGTCTTTTGACCTGAAGGTTCCTGTGTGTCCTGAGCAATGGGCCTGTCTCTTTCTGCTTGCTGAGGGAATAGCATTTTTTCTTGTTAGACAGAAAGATTGGAGAGCTGCAGTATTTATTTAGACATGAGTCTTAAGGCAAGTGGAACTACAGCATTTGCTGTAGTTAAAATATAAATGCAACAACATTTACAACCAATACAAGTTTGCTGGAGTTGTTTTCACTACTTTCATGTTTCTGTTCAGCATAGAACTAAAATGTGTTTAGCCTCAAAAATTCTGCTCTATTTAACGTGTGGGGTTTATTTTCACATTGAATATCTTGGTGTATCTGGAATTACTTCTATTGTCTTGATCAGCTTTCAGAAACTGCTCAGCACTCCTACTTCTACACAGTGGAAGTGGAGGGTGAGAGTGAGGTGGGGTGTGCTGAGCTGCCATCCTCTTAGATTCCACCCTCTCTGGTGCCCTGTATGCTGTATTTCTACGTGAGCTTCTGCAGTGTCATGGAAAGTGATGTCAAGTCTTACTTGACATGTTTGCTGTATTTTCTTAGGAACTGGTATGTAGATGAGCCATCCTGTGGGAGTGAAATCTGTGTTGTGATGTACTACCAGCCATCTGCCCCACCAGGTGTCGGAGGTCCTTACATGTTTCAATGGAATGATGACAGATGCAACATGAAAAATAACTTCATTTGCAAATATTCTCTTGGTAATGAGTCATTCTGTAGCTTTGAAAACCCAACCTGCTCCCAGTCCCTAAGGGGAAGTATGAGGAAATTGCCATAACTGACAGGGAAACCCTTTCTTAGCTTTACTGGAAATATCTGGTGACAGATGTCTTTAAGCTGATGCAAGTCATGGGGAAAACAATCTCTGTAGCTACTTGCTTTGTGATTTAAATGAACTCTCAGAGGATTTTTATAAAGTATTTGATATCTCAAATGTGGCCTGAGAGAGAGAGAATGTTGAAGAAGGGTGCTCATGTTATTAGACTATATTCAGTACACTTGGTCTCCCTAGTCAAACTTATGAGGTAACTCTGCATATATTTTTCTCTTTTAGAGAAGACGACTAGTGCTCCAATAGAGAATTCTCAGAAAGGTAAGTTACAGATATTTGAGGCTTTTTTTAATGACACACTAACTTTTGGTATAAATACTGTGACATTCATTGTCAGGGACAATCACAGACTGAAAAATTGCTAAGCAAGAAGTATCCCTGCAGTTTCCTTGTGCTGTTCTATAACTCATTCTGCAGGAACACAGTCTTGCTGCTGTTGATGCAGTATCTGGGACCACTGGTCATGCTGCAGAAGTTTAAGCAAAAGAGTACCAGTACACCTTACACATTCTTGCAGCAGGCAGTCTCTTCAATCTCCTCTCACCCTCACTTTTTGATTCTTAAGCTCTTTCAAACAACACCTGAGAGATTGCTTCTTTCCAGGCATTGCAACAGAGCCCTTAAAGCCAGTATTCCCAGAAGAACGCCATAAGAAAGATACTAATGTAACAGCTGTGGAAGCCAAAGGTACGTTGTGTTTGTTGGTACATAATCTTGAAGACTTGAGCTTATTTTACTTTAACTTGCTTAATTAGATGATTGGCCTCTTAGACTTTCCACCTTTGAGAAGTACATACAGCTAGATTATGAGCAAAACTAGAAGCCCACTGAGCTGTGATGATGCTGTCTCTTGCAAGTGTTAGGTTTTCTATGAAGTTCTGGGCATGTCAAATGCAACTGGAAGTGAATAAAAGCTGGAATATGGTTTTTACTCCTAGAACCTGTTCAGAGTCTTGCCTACATCCTTATTCCCAGTATTCCTGTGCTGCTGCTCCTGATGGCTGTTACAGCTATCTTTTGGTTTTGGCTTGTCATGAAGCGGTAAGTGACTTTTTTTGCATAACAAGTGAATGTATGATATCTTGTCCTGGCAATCATTTTACAGCTAGCTTCAGAATCCTGTAAGACGCTCTGGAGAGGACTGCTTTCAGTCAAATAAATGTTTAAAAGGTGTCATATTTCAGCCAAATAAATGTTTAAAATGTGTTAGCTCCAGGCTAAGTTACTTGTGAAGTGAAAATTTAAGTAAAGCACATTATGCCATTTTACTATTTTCACAGAAGAATAGGAGTTAGGGAATAGTGTAAAACAAGATGATGATTTTGAAGTGTTAGCACTGAAGTTTTCTTAATAAAGAAAATACTTGAATTATCAGAAAATCCTCTTCAAAAGTGAAAAACATAATAGAAATAAAAGGTCATACATTTGGAGCAAGTAACATTTCCCAGTTTCTTCTCCTTGCTTTCCTTATGTGCACAGTACCTCTGACGGTGACACTGGCTGTAGTTTTGGGAATGTCAGTGTTGAGTTTTGCTGCCTCAGCATCTCAGCTGCACCAGAATGCAAGGGCTACCTCAGCAGGTCCTGCAATAGGACACACCTGGAACAGCAAGTAATAACAAATGTCATCCTGAGTCCAGGCTCTAAGTGTCAGTTTTCCTCAAGGGCCATCATTAAATTACTGAGAGGTGTGGTATCGTTTTGTATTTGCCTCTGTGAAAAAGCATCACTTGTCCTCTTTCCTCCATCCCTAAGGAGACAGGAGCGAATAGATGCAAGCCCAAAAGAGGAAGATGCATGGCTGTCTAACCACAGCAGGAACAGTCCAAATCTGGATATTTACAAAGTCATCAAAAAGCAATCAGAAGCCGATTTGGCTGGAACCAGGCCTGACACTAAGAATTCTTCCTTCCGTAAACAGGAAGATAAGGTGCTTGACAATTTCCCCAGGGATTACGATGGTGCAGCAATGAATACATCGAGTGGTGGTGTGACGTTGGCCAGTAATGAAAGTGGCTTTGTGACCAATGATATCTATGAGCTGTGCGGACATCATGTGGGGAGAAGCAAGGAATCGGCCTGGGTAGAGAATGAGATTTATGGATATTAAGGAAATGGACCAAAACAAAGCCTGGAATATGGATAACAAAGTGAATATTGATACAAGTTAACCTGCCTTCCCCATGCACACGTTTTAATAATAGTATATGTGATGTTTATCCTGGTTTTGCATTGTCCCTATATTCTTCTCTTTTTTGAAAGAATATGGGTTTTTAAAGATCCAAACTGAAAAGAATGTATATATTTTCCTTTGCATCAAGTCTCCTTTCCCCCAGGAATGGCTTGTTAATTCTCTTAATTCTTTTTTGTACTCCAAAGATATGCCTTTGAAACTAAAGTGCAATCAAAAATCTGTATTTATTTCACTGACCTTCAAAGGTGTTAGAAGTCACTAGCCACTAGTGACTATGAAGATAGATAGATAGATATATAAACCTATGGATTCTCATAGGTACTGGTAGCAGCACTGTGGCCCCTGGAGTCTTTTTTATTCTTTTCAGTACAGAGCCAGTTTGAGCTTGTGAACTGAGCTCAGCTGTTAATAAAGAAGTCATGAATATGCTTAGAGGCTTGCATTCGGAGCTGTACAGTTTCTTACTAGGGATCTTAGCATGTTTGTAGCTGTGTACATGTAGAAAGCGCTGCAAAGTTAGGCCATTAAGAGTTATCTGTCCTGCCTCATCTGCTGTCTCAGCTGTTTCATACATTAGTTTATAGATTCTCAAGGCAAATATGTTCAGCTTTGAGTAAACCAGCACTTCTTCCTTTGTCTGCACTTGCTATGGTTTCAATTATTCCAGCAGTGGAGCTGTTCCTTAAAAATGGAGTTTTATTTGATTCTATCTCATTGAACTAAGAAGTGTGAGTACCACATAAAGAATCAAGTATGATGAATGTTGGGAAGCTGGACATCTGCACTGAAAAGAAGAAAGCATTTCAAACATTATCATATATCTGAGGCCGTTTGGTTTCAGCTCTGTATTCTGTCTCAGTCTTTTCTTAACTATGAGTGCCTCAGTCCCATGTGAAAAACAGAAATAACAGCATTTCTCAGGCTTACAGGGAAGCCTAAAATCTAATAATTGACTTTGAAGTGATTTCAGGATTACAATAATAAGGCCTTGTAATTGACAAAATTAATTTTATTATCCAGCAGATCTGTGCAGCAATTTTGAAGCATGTCTAGAAGCTGTATAAAAATTTATTTGATTAAAAGATACGGTTTGGTTGAGCAATTCTGGCACCTAACTCTGTATGTAGCAAGTAATGTTTTTTACTTACTGTTAGATCACATTTGATCTTTTCACAAGCTAAATAAAAATAGTAGATGCCTGTTTATTTCTCTGCCTACATTTAAAAGCTTAAGTTTTGCCATTCTCTATTGGTTAGAGCTAAAAGAAAGGTGCAGGTTGAGGCGATCTTGACACTGTGAGATGCTTACTGAAGCCAGAACTCCTCAGAATGCATTGTTAAAATCCCAAAGAATTATACCTTTGTTTTCTGGCTTTACACTAGCAATTTGCTAAGCTCCAGGTTTTAGATCCATCTGGGTTTGGAGTTTGCGGTTTTGTTTTGGGGTCTGGGTTGTTTTTTGGGTTTTTTTCATCAGAGACCAGGTAATGGAGGGTGAATGACCAAACAAATAAAGCATGTCAAGCAGGAACACAAATATTACTCACCTATTGCTCTGCAGGTGAGTATTTCTGGCTCCAGGAGAGCAACATTTTGCTGCCAAACAAGTCTATGAAGTACCTGAAGTGCATTCAGCTCTTGACAGGGTTCTCTAGAAGTTCAATCTTCTCCACTGCATGGGGAAGAAATAAATAGGAAAATGAAACAAAACCAATTTGCATCAGCCACCAGGAAGCAAAGTTGTGCCAAAGGCTTTGGCAGAAAGTGTTTTGTGTGGGACTGAAACAACAACAGAAATGAGTGCATGACATGGCCATGATTTCCTCTGCCAATGCAAATATGCAGGAAAACATTTCTGGATCTGTGTGCTCTTGCTGTCTATTGTAAACCTGGAAATATTTTGGGTACTTGCCACAGCTACTTCTCTCACTTCCCAAATGTTACAGGTGAAGTTGATGTGCACAATGGCTGTCATGCATACCTGTGGTATCACAGAGTGTCTGCCAATCTCACACTGTTCCTCCACAAGACACAGTGGTGCAAGATGAAGCCCTGAAAAAAGCAGTCCTATAAAAAACTAATGAAAAAACAAAAATAAATCTGTTTTGAAAATTACACCAACTTAGCAACCATTTCTCCTGCAGAGCAAAATCCTGGTATAGGAGAACAGTCATTGCTGGATGCTTGCAGTGTCCAGGGTTTCTAATGCAGCAGTTATCGGATTTTTATCAAGCAATTGTGTTTCTATCCACTTTGAGTCTTGTACGTTTGAGCTCTTCTTTTTTATTTTTTTTTTTTTTTTTTTTTTTTTGGCAGGCACTAAGCATTTTTTAGGTATTGAAAAATAGGAAATGAAATGAAAATGCTCTAGCCAGATGTTGTAGATTAGGTATGTAAACATGTAAAGCCATATTTTGGCAACTAAGTGTCGAACTTCTGGCTTGTTGAACACAGGCAGAGTCAGCTGCATGTGCTCAGCATCTCTAGAACTTATCAGGCGGCGAGGTAATTTTGCCGTTTCTTTGCTATCTCCGTTTAGTAGAGCACCACAGCTGTAGCGTTCTCTACAGGAACACTGACCACAAGAGGGCATGTTTGCTCCACAGTTTGTGTCATTCAATCGAGTGTTGAAAAGGGCCTGGAAGAGCTCCTCTGTACCACTGTTTGTGGGAAGCACTTGAATCGCTTTCCTTGAAGCACAGCAAAAACCATCAACGGCCGTTAAAGGCTGCTCTACAAAGAATGGTTCTGTGACTGCACTTCTGCTAGCAGCGTTATTAAGAACTGTTTTTGTAACCTGAACTTTCAGGCCAAAAATGGCATTGTGGTGTGTAGCAGAATAAAGTTTCTGCAGAAGTTTTCTATTGCAGACACAAAATCTGGCTTGATAGTTGATTTTGCACCAGTCTAGTGAGATTTTTGCATGGATGCAAGTAGTCAGAAAGCAAGTAAATATTTTATTACTAATTTTTTTTACTTATAATAAAGTGACTGTAAATTAATATTAGGCAATATTTCTGCACAGTGTAGAAAAAGTTACTTTTAACCCACCAAGTTTGCATCATACTAGAATTATTGTTTGGTCAGTGTTTCAGATTTCTGAAAAAAATGAAGCATCCTAGAGGGTGAAACGGGGTGAGATCTCATAAGTAGCAGTTTGGGATGACACCATTTTCTATTCAAGTAGGATTATGGTAAGCTTGCTCATGCACCTATCAATCATTCAAAAGGGTGTATGTCTGACTAACTCAAGTCATCAGTTAGTCATTGCTAGAGCTTCTTAAGGGGATAAATAGAACAGTAACAGCACAGTTATTATCCATAGCAGTCTAAGTCAGCAGCGTCATCTCAAAATGTCATTCCTTAGAGGAATTTCATGAACTGCAAGTGCAGTGAAGGACAAGCATTAACTTTTCATGGATGTCTTCAGTTCCCATTGCAGAACAGTCATTGCTGTTTTGACACGTAACAAATTTAACCAACTTTCCACATGTATGAGGCAGCTTTATCTGCGAGATGTGGGTACAAAGCGAAAGCAAGAGGCAGAAGTTTGTTTCTTGCATTCTTCCACTCACTTTTTGTGGCCACACTGTTTTCTGCTGTGTTTGCATGCACAGCACTCTGTGTTCATAAAAGGCCTGGGTCTGTTGCTGAACGTGCAGTTGATTCAGACATGTGTGCTCTTGTATCATCAGCTTTTAGACATGCCTTGTTTAGTCAGTGGAACTGAGCAAAGCCCCCAGGCATGATTCCTGGTATCCACATGTCAAAAGGTACCAGTCTTCCAGTGGGAGATGGGTCAGGGGTGAGGGAGCGATGAGAAAGGGACAGGCATGAACTGGGAGAGTGAAGATTGCTGCAGAACTGAAATGAGCATGGCATTTTTAAAATGAAAGCAAGCTAATGTGTAAGTGCAAACATAAAACAGACTGGGTGGATGTAGTACTGGAAATTTAGAATAAAAGACCTTAACTTCTTTCACACTTACACTGTCAGCTCTGAAGGGTGTCTAACCATTTTATGTCAAAGGTCCTAAAAAAGCTTCCAAATCTGTCTTTCCAGGTGTGTATGAAATGAATAGATTATTTCAGTTGGAAGTGATCTACAACAACCATCTAGTCTAACTGCCTGACCGTATTAGGGCTAAAAGTTAAAGCATGTTCTTAAGGGCATTGTCCAAATACATCTTAAACACTGATAGGCCAGGGGCATTGACCACATCTGTAAGACGACTGTTCCAGTGTTTGAGCACCTTCTCTGTTAAGAAATTCTTCCTAATGTCCAGCCTCAACCTCCCTGATGAAATTGAGCCATTCCCACATGTCCTATCACTGGAACCCAGGGAGAAGAGCTCAGCACTTCCCTCTCCACATCTTCTCCTCAGGAAGCTGTAGAGAGCAGCAAGGTCACCCCTCATCCTCTTTCTCTCCAAACTAGACAAGTCCAATGTCCTCAGCTGCTCCTCACAGGATGTGCCCTTCAGCCCTTTCACCAGCTTTGTTGCCCGCCTCTGGATGCATTCCAATACTTTCACGTCCTTATTAGATTGGGGATCCCAGAACTGCACACTGTGTTCAAGGTGAGTATTGCATAACGATGACCAGGATTCTGGGAGGCTGATGTACTAAGGCATCGTTCTGATCTGGAATAACCTGGCCCATTGGAAATGGCGCTCAGCGGTAGGGAGAGCGTGTTTCCATCAGACGTCCCTGATCCAGGTGCAGCAGCCCAGGCTCTTACTGCCCCCTTGGAGCCATGGAGACCCTGACTGAGGGCTGGAGAGTCACCTGGGGCTGGCGCGTTCCTCCTCCTCCTGCTGATGATGCGCACCAGGTGCTCTCACCCGTCTACAAAAAGCCACGCTGTGCGCGCAGCTGCGACCGAGCGGGGAGCAGAAGAGGAGCCGGGGCGAGGATC